CTTGTGTTTTTATCTCAATATATTGTTGTAACGTATGATGCGTTCGAACTTCTTAGTACGTTTTATCCTTAAAATAAGCCTTTTAACCAAAGTAAACAAATAAACTGTTGTGTGGTATGGAAAAATTGGCCCAAAAATATTTCCCTAGCAAAAAGAACTTCTTTATTATTTTTTTCCTTTTTTTTATTGCAATATATTGTCGTAACGTATGATGCGTTGAACTTTTTAGTACTTTATATATATATATATATATATACGTATATACATATATATGTACATATGTACATATATATGTACATATATATATATATATGTACATATATATATATATAAAATGCTTATGACTACAAGAGTTCTTTTATATATATATTTTTAGTCTTAATCGTGTCTCTTTACTTTATTTTTTTTGTTAAGTTCATCCGTTTGTAGTTAATCTCTATCTTAATGTTAGTCCATTCGTTAACCTTTTAGATTAATAGTGCTAAATTGCATTGTTAGCCATATAGGTTGCAACAAGTGTCCTTTTTTTTTTTTTGTTCTTAATTGTGTCTCTTTCTTCTTGTTTTAGTGAAAAGAAAAGGTGAATATAAAAATATTTTTTATCCAAAAATATTTCCCTAGCAAAAAGAACTTCTTTATTATTATTATTTTTTTATTGCAATATATTGTCACAACGTATGATGCGTTGAACTTTTTAGTACTTTATATATATATATATATATAAAGTTTATGGCTACAAGAGTTCTTATATATATATATATTTTAGTCTTAATCGTGTCTCTTTACTTTATTTTTTTTTGTTAAGTTCATCCGTTTGTATTTAATTTCTATCTTAATGTTAGTCCATTCGTTAACCTTTTAGATTAATAGTGCGAAATTGTATTGTTAGCCATATAGGTTGCAACAAGTGTCTTTTTTTTTTTGGTTCTTAATTGCGTCTCTTTCTTCTTGTTTTAGTGAAAAGAAAAGGTGAATCCAAAAATATTTTTTATTCAAAATATTCTTATGGGTTTAAATTTATCTCTATAATAGTAAGTAAATTTTAAGTATAAAATGAAATATTTATAGCATTTTTTGTAAATGCTAAGATTGTTTTTGTTAAATTTTTCAATTTTTGAAAGGTGTTTATAATCTTCTAACCACTTTTGAATGAATATTCCTAAAAAAAAACTTAACAAAATTTGTATTCTCGCTTTTGAGTCAAATTCAAAATTTTGTAAAATGAAACTAAGTAAATTATAATAAACTATTTTAAGGTATTATAGAATTATAAGTACCATTTAAAAATGAAATATTTATATCTTCACCTTTTTATATCTAATTTTTAGTCAAATTAAGAAATTTACTTACTATCATAGAGATCAATTTAAACCCATAGAAGATATTTTGAAAAGAAAAAAAATTATCTTTACTTTTTCAACTTTTATCTTCTTTTTTTAACTAAAAAAAATAGATGAAAAAAAATAAGAGTTGACACATGTCATAATTCTATAGGACTAACGGTGTAATTTAACACCAATAGTACAAAAAGTCGATGGAAGAACAAACTTAACACAAAACAAAATACAATTAATAAAAAATAAAAAGGTAAGGGGACCCGATAAAAAAAAATCCCTTCAACTATATATATATATATATATATATATAACAATCGGTGATGTATCATCATTGATCTAAATTTTGTTTACCAATGATGTATAATTTCACAAAAAATGATATGTATAAAAAAATTTCATACAAACTAATATTAACAAAAATAACTAAAACAAAACCTAAAAACACTACTCATACTATTGTGCTTTTAATTAGAATCATATGTATTGTGGATTAAGCATAACTTGAATAACCCGATAAAATGTGTGAGTGTGTATATAAAAGAAGCATATATTGTTCATTTTGATGCATGATTTTCTTTAGTATAAAACATAATTAATTTATCACAAGTAGATTTAGGCTTTTCGAGCAATGGCTAGGAGCTTGGGAGGGATTTCCATAAGAAAAAAAGAAACAACAAACTATTGAAGCTCCTTTCTCTCGCCATGAGAAACTAGTAATTCATCACCAAGCCCAATCTGGTGTATGATCTAAAAAATCATGACATGGATAACCATTAATTCCTTTTAAGAATCTAAGCCTTTTTTTTTTTTTTTTGCCTTTGAGATCTAATGTTTCATTGCTTGAATCGAAATTCGACACAATCAAAACCTTGTTGCCATGCATGAATCCCGGCAATCCTATCAAAGTTAACTAAGAAGACGAGACCATTTTTTATTTTCATATATTTGTAAAGCACTGAGGGGATGAAGTTTTTTCCAAACAACAATAGAAATGATTATTGATTCTAACCTCACAAAAAAAAGGTCTAATTAGAATGAAGCTGGTGCATGTGCAAAACAGCATGCAAACGAAATTCCAAATCTATTATATCAATTCATTTTTTAATGATTCATACATTTTCTCACTATTAAAAAAGAATCTTAAAATTGAAGCAACTCACGATAAATGAAAATCAAACCGAGTTTAAAAATAAGAGTCATTCATTCAAAATAAGAAACAAGAGCTATTCATTTAAAATCCAATCAACCCATTACATCATTGCAAGAAAACCCTAAATCAAATCCCCTAACCACCAAAGACATACAAAGTACGACATTGTCTCTTCAAAGCATAGACAACATCCATAGTAATCACCGCCTTTCACCTTTGATTTCCTTCTTTTCCTCTACCTAACATTTTTTTCTTTCCATTCTTTTATTTTATTCTCTCTCTATTTCTTGATGGGACTTAGTAAAAAGATAATTTTTGCTATTTGACCCAATGAGCTCTATTAGGTTTGAAATCACAAAGATCAAAATCGATGAACTAAAGAATGGCATCGATGATGAATTTAGATAAAGCAGAATCGATAGAATGTCTTTCAATCGAGAGAAAGATGGTTTCGAGAGGATGAAATCGAAGGAGATGGTGTTTTAGTTTCAAAGAAGGAGGAAGAGGATACGGCTGTTCGCATGCAAAGAAGGAGGAAGGGGAGGTAAATGAGGGACTAAAAGATTTAGAAAACTTAAGGTTTTGATAAGAGGAGGAGGAGAAGAAGAAATGAAGTTTTGTGTTTAGGAAGAGATTGTGAGAAGAGAGAATGAGAGTTTTGATATTTTCTATTGATTTTTGGATAATAGGATGGGGGTAAATTTGTCTTTTCAACTTATTTTTTAAATTCTAAACATTAGTTTATTATTAAAAATATTTTGAATTCTTTTTTTTAAATTTCGAACTCGGACTATATTATTTAAGACCCATATGCCACATGTCAATTTGCAATTGGTTGTTGTAAATTGTAACATGTCTCGTTAGATGAATAGTTGATATAGTTATAAAGGAGGGTCTGAATCAATAAATTTGCAAGAGTAGAGGGTTTCAATAAAAGCTGAAAAATCGTAAAGGGTCTCAATAAAAAAATTTGAACTGTATAGAGACCAAATATGGGATAAACCTGTTTTTAAATCTACTTATAACTTACTCTTTTTTGTTCTTTTTAATTTATTTTGATTTTTTTTTAAGAAATAGAAAAAGGAAAAAGTATAAAAAAATATGAAAAGATGAGAAAAATTATTTTTTGAAATAAAAATAATTTTAAATTAAGTATAGTTAAAACTAGTCAAAAGACTAAATAATAGTTTTTGAAATGAGATGAATTAATTAATTCATTTCTTAAAACTAAAGAGACTAATTTATAATTTACTCAAAAAATAACTATTATCATTGTCTATATAAGTAATATAAATAGTATAAGTTGATCAAGAATTTAAGCAACTATGTTCCATGACGAGTTGCAACAAGCGAGAGCATCCATTTTGAAGTTAGAGGCAAATATTGTGCTTGCAATGTTGCGGAAAAGGTACCACCGGTGGTGGAATTTGTATCCATAATCCATATCATCTTTTCAATTTCAAGATTGCACATTCAATAACAAATGAAAAGGATTTGATGACATTGAAAAATTCTAGATGTGTATGGTAGCTGCTACTTTGGTTAATTCGGCTAAGAAATGTTGGTCTTTTTTTTCTAGAAGAGAAGTTAAACAAGATAAAAATACTTTATATGTTCATAATCTGTGCTTTGAATTTATGATAAAAATATATCTTTTTGGTTGTAAATTTTTTTCTTTTTTAAGCGAGTAGGGAAATTAGAATCAACATCCAAGGAGGAAAGACATGAATCGGAACCTATTTGATGGTGGAGAATACGAGCAAGTATATGAATAAACTTGGATTTAAGGAATTTGTTGACTTGTAATGATATCCATAGCATTTTTTCTTTCTTCCTTTCTTTCTTTTCTTTTCGATGAATCTAATTTTTATTTTTTATAAATATTTTCCAAATTATTGATATTGTATTTCAATTTTATTATTATTATTATTTTACTATTAAGGGACATTGGCAATCGGTCTCATTCCACAAACGTACAGATTGGGGAGTGAACCCATACGATTCCCATATCCTTTGAAATAAATAAAAGGTTTTATGTAATTTAGTCCCTAGAGTTTGATACTTTTGTATGTTAGTCCTTGTGGTTTGAAAATCATTAGTTAGTCGCTTGACCAAAATTGACTATTAATTATTTTTAAATTTCCTAAATTATCCTTTCCAATGCATTTTTTTTGAAAGCGACGAGTCGTCAATTATATTAAATCAAGCATAAAGAAGAGAAACAATACAATCTGGGGTGTATAACCCCACACATGGAAACTCGACATGGAAACAGATCGCTCGAACCAAGGAATGAGCAACCGAATTCGCAGATCTCTTTACAAAAACAAGTTTCACATCCCTCAAAGTTGCTAAAATAGAAGTACAATCCCGAATAATAAGATCAAATAGTGAATAATCAACATCTCTCGAGTGCATAGCTTGCACTATTCTTAGACGATCTGTTTTGATAATCACCTTCGTTTTTCCTTTGTCTTTGATCCGAGCTTAAAGCCTCTCTAACTCCCAAAGCTTCAATAATAGCGAGATCTTGTAAACGAACCCAACACCTTAACATAGCCACCCATAAATCTTCCCCGCTCATTTCGGAACACGCCACTAATAGCTCCTTCTTTTGAAAAAGTAGCAAGCATCAACATTACATTTAATCCATCCCAACGGAGGACATTCCCACTTGACAACTCGTCGCATAGTAGACCGCCCGCAACAGAGGTCGCTCCATCTACTCGCGCATGTAACCGGCCTCTCGAAGCCCAAACTTCCGCTAATAGTCACTCGTACATAAGCATTCTTATGGTTCCAAATCGAGTCATTTCTTTGTCTCCAAATACCCTGCAGATTGAAGACATCTCGACCAATCGTTGAGAATCAACATGTTGGGCAATTGTAAACAACCATTCTTGGAAGGACCCAATGTTGCCCAAAAAATAACCCAAACCTGACCTCAACCACACCTCCTGAGCAAACGAACAAGACACTAAGACATGCGAGTAGATTCCGCATCATTCCCACAAATTGGGCGGGAGGCATCATTTATAATTCGTTTTTGGAATAATGCGTACCGGTAGGGATAATATCCCTCGCAAAGCACGCCAAATAAAGTTAACCACTTTAGGAGGAGCATTAATCCGCCAAATGATTTTCCATACATCATGGAACTGTTGTTGATGAGGAGCCCGATTCAGTCCGCGTAACAAACCATAACCGAACGAACGGTGTATCGCCATTTTCGATCTTCGATCCACATCCAACAATCCGTAAGGTTTCTCACACTTAACGGAATATCCAACACTTTCATCACATCGGGCACATCAAGAAGCTCATTAATGTTTTCCACATTCCGGAAGTACCACATTCACTTATATAAGTTCCTCCACCAATAAATTCTCCCCACCAAACACCGGCGGTGTAGAAATCCTGGCCGAGCTCGTATCCCGGAGCCAAAGATCCCCCCAAATTTTAATGCTTTTACCATCACGCATTCTCCAACGACGACCACTAACCGAACCCCTTCGCGACCCGGATACTCCGCCAAACATAGCTCGGGTTATCCCCAAGTTCGAGTTGAGGAAATCCGAATTTTTGAAATAACGTGCCTTTAATAATCTTACCATAAGACACGTGGGATTGGTGAGAATTCTCCACCCTTGTTTCGCGAAGTGCCAAGTTAAAATCACTTATCTTTCGAAAACTCATTCCCCCATCCTTTTCCGATTACACAAAACGTCCCACCGACACCATCTAATACCACCCTTCCCCACTTGGTTTCCCCACCAATATCCATTAAAGATCTTCTCCAATTCATCACAAATATCCGAGGGCAATTTGAACAAACTCATAACATAATTTGGCATTGCTTGTAGCACTGTCTTGATTAATATCTCTTTACCTGCTTTCGAAAGAGGCCTATTCTTCCATTTTTGTATCTTCGACCAAACCTTGTCCTTCACATATGCAAAAATTGCCTTTTTCTTCCTACCCACGAAGCTCGGCATTCCCAAGTAGCTACCATCATCCACCACCTCGGTAACCCCCAACTCCCCACATAATACTGTCCGAAATTCCGCACTCACTCAAGTACTAAAAGAAGCCGCCGACTTATTAAAGTTAACGAGCTTAGCCATAAGCTATCCGATAATTCCGTAAAATCTCTTTGACTCTTCCGCACTCCTCCACGATCGCTCGAAAAAAAGATAAGCATCGTCCGCAAAAAATAAATGAGAGACAATCGGAGCACCTCCGGATACTTTGCACCCATGTAAGAACCCACCAGACCTCACTCGAGAAATGAGTGATGACAACCCTTCGCACAAAGAATAAACAAGTACGGTGACAAAGGGTCCCCTTGTCTCAAACCGCGCCGTGGAATAATCGGACCTAACAATTCATCATTAACCAAGACATTAAATCTCACAGATTTAACACACAACAACATTAAATCAACCCACTCTCTACATAAGCCCAACTTCAACAGCATCCCCTCCAAAAAACATCATTCTAATTTATCATAAGCTTTAGAGATATCTAATTTGAACGCTACATTAACAATTTTAGCCGATCTCTGCCGTTTAAGATAATGCGATATTTCATAGGCCACAACGATGTTATCGGTAATGGATCTTTCTGCTACGAATCCACTCTGGCTTTCCAATGCATTTTTAATGTTGTGTAATTGATGAAATTGCCATGCAGAGGTAGATGTGAAGGCAAATGTTTAAATTGCCATGCACAAAGTAATTGATGGTTTAAAGTCAGTGTTGTCTGCAGTCTAGTTTATTTATTCGTTATTTGAAGTTGGCGTTGAAGCAATCAAAACTCTTGTTGTACAACAATGAAGTGATTTTAAACATTTGTATCATCATAGGTCCAGTCGTTTCCATTTTGGGATTAGGTTCTTCTGGGAGATCATTTCCTAGAACAGGGCATGGCCAGTGCACTTGTTTCTGCTCGTCTGAGTAGAGTTTTGGGCAACTTGAACTCACTAGCTCTGGAAGAGATTGGGATTGTTGGAGGCCCAAGGACAGAGCTTGAGAATCTCAAGTGCACCTTTTGCAAATGGGTTATTCCTTGCAAAGGCAAATAGATTTGCATGAGATAGGCCATGAAGATGAGGAGGAGGATCTCGTTGGAAACATAACGTGTAAAATTCATGATCGTGTCCATGATTTGGCACAATCAATTGCTGACATGAATGGTTTTTGATGCAGCCCAATACAGTATTGGAAGTCAGTAGCAAGACACGCCATTTAGCTATTCATAACAGATCATTGGATGCTGATCCAATTTGTTTATTTAATTTAGAATTGTGCTAAATTAAATAAGAAAGCTTCACTAATTTTGAATAGTCAAGTCTTCAGCATGTGAATCCAAGAAACAGAGATGCTTGAATCATTGTCCTTTGCTTTTCATTTTTTGGACATTGATTAGGTTCATAGTATTTGTTCAACAATTTTTTTTTTTTTGGAATTATGTGGAAGTTCGAAGTATCTATTGAGTAAGTTCGTAGTGGAGTGGTGGAGAAATTTTGAGATGAAGTTTTCACAAAAGAGAAAAGAAAAGACTAGAGTCTACACCGTGTGGGGCCACAGACTTAAATATTTTCCTTTGCCTTGCAAGACCCACTAGCCAAGAACAATAAGCGACAAGAGCGAGCCCATAGCACTAAACTAAACTAAACGCACTTTCTTCCATCTCTCCTCTCCATTGTTGATTTGTTTTTGCACCATTTCTTTCTGCAATCCAAGCATATAGCTGTTCCTGCTATTCCGGTTCTTATTTCAAACATTCAATTTCTTTTCCTAAGAAAACAAGCTATGGCTGATGTACTTGTTTCTGCTCTTGTGAATCCAATCTTAGAGAACTTGTCTTCGCTGTTGCTCAAAGAGTATGGGCTTGTTAGAGGCCTAAAGACCGAGCTTCGGAATCTCGAAAGCACACTGACCACGATTCAAGCTGTCCTGCATGATGCAGAGAAGAAGCAATGGAAGGATGCGGCTGTGAAGAATTGGCTGAGAAAGCTCAAGGATGCAGCTTATGATGCTGAGGATGTGGTTGAGGAATTTGCAATAGAAGCTCAAAGGCGTGGGCAGCCGAGGGGTTGGAGAAACAATGTTAGCAGCTTCTTCTCTATTGATCAGAAAATGGCACATAAAGCGAAGAATGTTAGAGACAGATTAGATGCCATTGCCAAGGAGAGACAATTCCATCTAACTGTGGGAGGTGGGGACATCGAAGCTGATAGTTCTGATCGCCGTCAGACATGGTCTTTGGTGAATGAATCAGAAATTTATGGAAGAGATCAGGAGAAAGAAGAGCTAATTGAATCACTGGTAAACAATTCAGGTGATCTCTCTGTTTATGCTATATGTGGAATGGGAGGGATTGGAAAAACAACGCTTGCTCAGTTGATCTACAATGCTGGAATGGTTAAAAGGCATTTCGATCTGACAATCTGGATCTGCGTCTCTGATGATTCCACTCCAAAAAGGTTAGCAAGAGCCATGATAGAGTCTATCGAAAACAGCCCTTGTGACATAAAAGAGTTGGATAACTTACAGCAATGTCTCCAAGAAAAGCTAAGTGGAAAGAAGTTTTTGCTTGTATTGGATGATTTCAATGATGAGTGGAGTAGTTTGAAGGTCTTACTCAGGTGTGGAGCGAAAGGTAGTTCTGTTTTAATTACTACCCGTATAGAGATGGTGGCTCTTAAAATGAAACCGGTTTTATCTCAACACATGGAAAGACTATCAGGTGATGATTCTTGGCGTTTGTTTGAGAGCCTTGCATTTGGGATCAGAAACAGAGAAGAATATGTGAACTTGGAGGCCATTGGAAGAGCAATAGTTGACAAGTGTGGTGGGGTTCCTTTAGCTATAAAGTCACTTGGAAGTCTGATGAGCTCTAAGACAAATGAAAGCGAGTGGTTATCTGTTGAAAGGAGTGAGATTTGGGATCTACAAGAAGAGGGGAGCAAGATTTTACCTGCCTTGCGGTTAAGTTATACTAACCTTCCATCACATTTAAAGCAATGTTTTGCATTTTGCTGTATTTTTCCGAAAGATCATGTCATGGGGAAGGATCAAATGATAGCTCTGTGGATGGCAAATAGCTTCATTCCTTGCAAAGGGTATATGGATTTGCATGAAATGGGCCATGCGATTTTCAATGAGCTTGTCGGGAGATCATTTTTGCAAGAAGTCAAGGAGGATGAATGGGGCAACACAACATGTAAGATGCACGATCTTATGCATGATCTTGCACAATCAATTATGTTACATGAGTGTTGTTCGGTTGAGGGCAATCGCAAGCTGGAAATTTCTAAACCATTTCGTCATGGTGCTGTTTGGAGGAAATATTATGCTCCTTCTGATTGTGATAAATTTCTCAATTTCCAATCTTTGCGCTCGTTCTTTCTGCATGATCCTTATGTAATGAATTGGAGTGAAGTTCTTCATTTGTGCTTATATAGACAAAAGCATCTCAGAGCCTTGGATGTCAGTGCATCTCATGACAGACTTACGAAATTGACAAAGTCTATTTGCAATTTGAAACATCTAAGGTATCTAGATGTCTCTACGTCTTACATCGAAACACTACCTGAATCAACCAGCTCTCTTCAGAACTTGCAGACCCTCAATCTGAGATACTGTCAGTCCCTTCGTATGTTACCAAAAGGAATTAAGCGCTTGAAAAATCTGGTCTATCTTGACATCACAGGCTGTAATTCACTTCGTTCTATGCCTTCTGGAATGGGACGATTAATATGCCTGCGAAAGCTCAACCTGTTCATTGTGGGCAAGGATGTTGGTCAACGCATAAGGGAGCTGGGAAGTCTGAATAATCTTGGTGGTAAATTGAGCATTAAAGATCTTGTTAATGTGAAAGATTTAACTGATGCGAAGAGTGCTAATTTGATGGGAAAAACAGCTCTTCAATCACTGCGTTTGTGTTGGCATGGGAATGAATTCTGGGGAAGCAGAAGCTGTGTTATCCGGGAAAACATTGAGGATGTAATTGATGGCCTCCAACCACATTCAAATATGAAGAGGTTGAGGATAGATGGATATGGAGGTTCAAAATATCCAAATTGGATGATGAACTTTAACTTGATGCTACCAAATCTAGTGGAGATGAAGCTAAACGGGTGTGGCAATTGTGAACAACTTCCACCATTTGGGAAACTACAGTTCCTCAAGCATCTTTATTTAGAGAATATGGATGGTGTGAAGTGTATTGGGAGTGATGTGTATGGAGATGAGGAAAATCCATTCCCATCTTTGGAGGTACTAAGTCTTCTATCCATGAGTAACTTTGAAAAATGGGAAAATGTGGCTGAAACGCAGGGTTTTCCTCGCCTTCGTGTACTGAGGTTGCAAGGATGTCCTGTATTGAGTGAAATACCAATTATGCCCTCCATCAAAACCTTGGTTATTGTGAGCTGCAATGCTATGTTATGCAGGTCAGTTAGGAATTTGACATCTCTCACCTCCCTTGAGATTAACTCCATTCCCCATTTGCAGCTTCTACCCGATGGGTTTTTGCAAAACCATACACGCCTTGAGCTCTTAAAAATTAGGTATCTGTGCCACCTCCAGTCCTTGTCAAATCAGATATTAGATAACCTATCATCTCTTAAAAGCTTGATTGTTTCCAATTGTTATGAACTTGAAAGCTTGCCTGAAGAAGGTCTCCGAAATCTGAATTCTTTAGAGACATTATCTATATGGCGTTGTGATGGATTAAAGTCTCTGCCAACCAATGGATTGTGTGGCTTATCTTCTGTTCGTAGGTTACATGTTGGATATTGTGCTAAATTGGCCTCTCTATCTGAGGGAGTGCGATATCTGACGGCACTGGATGATTTGGAACTTGAAGGATGTCCAGAGTTGAATTCATTACCAGAAAGTATCCAACACCTCACTTCTCTCCGATCTCTAAAAATTCGGCGTTGTGAGAGGTTATCTTCTCTGCCAAATCAGATTGGATATCTGACGTCCCTTTCACTCTTGCATATTTGGGATTGCCCTAAATTGATGTGTTTGCCATATACGGTACAGAGTCTCAGTATGCTTAGAGAGTTGTTCATTTCGGGATGCCCAAATCTGAGAGGAGGTGTGAGAAAGAGAGAGGAGAGGACTGGCCTAAGATAGCTCACATTCCTTACATTAATATCAGCGACAAAGCAATCCAAGGATCCTTGCATTGATTGCAGACTGTCCAAAGATTAGAATGATGGGGCTTTTGGGGAATGTAAAAAGGGATATCACTTCCACGGTAATTTTCTTCTTCTGAAATCCATCACATGCTTTTTTGAATTCCCCTAATTTTCAAATTGCAAGAATTTATGAGACAGAGCTAGTACCTTGAGTGAATCTTAAATTTTGCTATGCCAATAAGTTGATGTTTCTGTTGTACATGCAATTCTCAGTTTAGTGGTTTGCTCACTCATCGTTGATTTGTAGCTCGAATGTATCATCGAAGTACATTAAGCGATAGATGCAGAAACAAGCACCTTCAATTGGTTCTTAGAATCCGCATTCTAATCCTTTAATTTTTGTTTTGTTTTGTGCAGATTGAGAATAGTTCCTAATTTTGGTGCAAAGTCCTCTTTTCGAAGATCTTCCACCCATCCATTCTCCTCAGGCTCTTCTGAGGTAGCATGCTAGTATTTCATATCCTCATCTGTGGATTATGCAGAAGAATTGGAGATTGGAATGAGGAGTTTGCTTGCGCTAAAGATAACCTGCCGAAAAGGTGTTTCCTTTCTTTCTTTTGAGAATTGGCTGGAATGCCAATGTTTATGGCATTAGGAAGGAGCGTGGTAGCATAATTCATGGGAATGGTAGCACTTCTCTAGTTTTTTTATCAATAATTTTTCTATTATTTTTGTTCACAATATTTGAAAGAAAAATACTACTAAATCTTTATATTGATACTTTTCAGAATTATTACATAAATTTTGAAATCAAAGATTTCAAAGTTATATACATCAAACAAATGAGGTAATTGGTATTTTTTGTCAGGAAGGACTTGATCGTTTCTAGTTAAGAATATGTTACAAGCATTATTTTAAACTATTTCTTCAATTTTTTTTTAATATTCAATGAATAAAAAAAATTAATAGTTAAATTATGCAAATCAAATTGTTTTTAAATAAGTACATCCAAATGTATTATTAATTCCTAAACCTTAATTATTATTAAAAAATTTCCATTTTCTAATAATTAAAGTACTTTAAATGGAAATGTTGGCTTTTCATTTTATTAAAACTGATGAACAAAATTAGTGAAATTTCTGATATAAAAATATGCTATATTTTAGTCTTTTAATTGTTAAATTTTAAATATAGCTTTTACTAAAAACATTATTTCATATATAATTTTTATTTGTTGTCTTAAGAAATAAAACAATAATAATTAATTTTCCCAAAAAATTTACAGGCGATGGAAAAGTTAAAAACCCGTTTTTTTTTTTTTTAATAGCTAATATATGTTGAACAGGAATTGGCAAATAGGTACCTCTAAATGAATCCTTGTTTAAAGTTATATATTTTTTATAGCTAAGTACATGCATACAAATAGACTATGCAAAGCAGCAGCAACAACAATAATAGAATCATGTGAAGGTACATATCAATATATTCGAGATATGTGGAAAAATTATGTTCCATTCAATATCATTACATTTAAAAAAAGGCTGGATGGACAAATTCTGTTTAGACAATTTTTGGATAGGCAATCAGAATGATTCTCGATCTATCGACCAACGATCAAGTACCTTGCACATACTGCGATGTAAAAATATTTAAATATAAAAAATAAGAAAACACGTAGCATTAGATTTAGAGTTTTTTTTAATCGAAATGATAAAAAAATATATATAATCTATGAAATGATCTATATTTTGTTTTTGTTTTTTTTTCCCACATTGAAGGCTATTATTTCAAATAGTTATATGTATCAACCTTCTTCAAATCCTAACAAAGCTTTAGAAAGGTTTGGTTCATGGTTCTCAAATTGCTATATATATTTAAGAAATCTGTTTCCTATAACTTACATAAATTATCATAGAGTTACAATTTTTTTTTATCTATTTTGATTTTAACCTAACTAACCATTGAATACAATAAGATATTTATCTTATCATGTTAAATTTTAAGTCAATTGTGACAATATCATACATAATATAGATGAACAACTTATAGGTATCAAATTCATTTAGAGCTCAATTTGTAACATTTTTTTTTTTTTTTTTGTCTTAGTGTTATTTTCTTCTTTCTTCATTTCTCTTTTCTTTTCTTTTATTCTCCTTTGTTTTTTGAGTCATTGCTTTCTTTGACAAGTTTATCGTGAATCATCATCATTTTCTTCAATTTTTTTTCTAAAAGAACATCATACGATTATTTATAAACTTTCAAAATTGTTTCTAGTATGAAAGAAAAAAACAAAATCAATTTTGAAGAAACAACATATAACTACGAAGTTTTTATAGAACTCAACATATATGTATTTTTTTTCAACTTGCAACATTATTTCTAATGCACTAATCATTTTAGTGTTTCAAAAAATTCTTCTAAATTAGAATATAATGCCATGTAATTGTATATTTCAAGATTTTTTTTTTTTTTTATTGTATAGGCTTTAAGATACAGAACTTATCGAGCATCAAAATATCAACTGGAAAGGAGTAATTTTTTCAGCATTGACGACTATTATTTCAATCAATTTGTAAATTATTAGCTTTTGTTGCAGGAGTTGTTGCAGCCGAGAGAAATATTGAGATGAGTTTGTTGGAGGAGGTAATCTACCAGCTTTTGTTGTAAGATGAGTGGGTGTTGGCGTTCCCCTTGCTTCCATCTCCTTACCTTGACATCCTAGCCTCTCAAACAAAAGGGCTGCCACTGTTGCATTCCGTTGACTTGTAAAAATTTTGTAATGATAGTAGTTTGCCTTTTCTTTTAACTTTCACGGACTAGTGGATAATGGCTTTTTCCCCTTCTTTGAGATGTAACAAAGGTCAGAATGGCCATATGTTTGTTGTAATAGCACAATCAAAAGGTCACAAATGACCATTTGAGAGTCATGTGGATATGACCGTATAAACATGCTTGTGTAAGTGAAATATACTGTCAAGGTTAATCCTATACATAGCTTTAGCTAATGATAATATTTTGGGGAAAATTTCATTGCCAAAGTTGTTTTTGTTGTTTTTAGTGCTGAAAAATAGTTCTCACATGCATTATATATATTTACGATAAAACTAAGAGAATTGGACTTTTTGGACACTAGTGAACAGTTATGAACATTGTTTATGACTATAGTTTTTTTTTTTTTTTTTTATATGTAATTTTTAAATTATTTCATTTTGGTCTCTAAAAATTTAAAATAAAAATTTTAGTCTCCTAATTTGTTGCACTACACATCCCTTTTCTTCTTTTTTTTTTTTTTCCTTTGGTTTTTTCCTTTGCCTTTTTCATTAATTTATGTTCTTTTTTATTTAATTAGATGTTAAAATTTTTAAAAAAATCAAAATTTTCTTTGCTTTTTTTTCCATCAATTTATGTTTTTTATTTATTTAATTAGATGTTAAAATTTTAAAAAATCAATCATAACTTTTTTCACACAAACTGACGATTATATAATATACCTTTTTATCTTTTAAAATTAATATATACTTTATTTTATATTACTCTTATTATTTAAATTTTATTCTTTGAATTTATTTATTTTTTTATGAAAATTCTCATCCAATTAATATTTTTATATGAAATTTTATTTATTGATAGTATATAATTTATTTTTCTCTATGTTTGAATTTTTAAATAAAATTTTAAAACATGATTTTTTTTTTTAAAAAATAAATTGGTATAATATATATCATGAATTTTAAAATTTTTAAATGATAGTTCCATATATATAAATATATAATTATTTTATTCTCAAAGGTTCAAGGTATATTTTAAATAATTTGTCTCAATTTACTAGGTATGGTCAAGACCTATAAAAAAATTATTGAATTGTTGATTTTATTAAAAATTAACTATACATCTTCTAACATAATACAAATTATTTACTATAAATATTTTTTAACATTATAGAACCAACTTATTTGGAATAAAATAATTAAAATAAGCTTTTGAAAGAACGAACCAATTATTCAAATACTATTTTTTATACTAATTTTTATTGATTATTTTGTAAATAAATATATAAAGATCAAATCATATACTTGAAAAAAGAAATATTCTTGCCAACATTAAATAAGAATAAAATTTTATTTTTTCATTGGTTAATTTTTATGCAAATCTATACATTAATTGTAACTTTATTTTTTGAATACATTCTTATAAACAATATAATTTTAAAGTATTTATTTTTGAATTCTTAATTAATATTTCAGGTTTAAATTATTACAAGTTTTTATTTAAAAATTCTTGAATAACGAAGAATAAATCATTTTTTTAATAAAAAAATTTTATGAAAAGCATACAAAAAAAGTAATAATTAAATAAAAAAATTAATTAAAAATTATAACATTTTGAAATGATTTTGTTCTATTTACCTATAGCATTGCACGGATAATTTAAAAAATTAATCTTTTCCTCAGCATTAAATAAGATTTTTTTTTCATTTGTTAATTTTTGTAAAAGTCTATCCATTAATTATAACTTTATTTTTTGGAATACAATATTGTGAAAATTATATTTGTAATGTTTTTTTTTCAATTCTTGATTAATATTTTAGTTAAAATTATTACAATTTTTAATTTTAAAATCAATCCATAAAAAAGAATGATTTATGTTTTTTTAAGTACAAAATTTATAAAAACATTATAAAAATTAATAAAATAAAATATTTTAATTAAAAATTTTTTAAATAATTTTGTTCTATTGGATCCATGGCGTAGCACAAGTAACCGGCTAGTATGCATTCAAACTAAATAGGATTTCACTATTTCTAGCTCCTAACAACAATGGATAAAACAATGTCGTTTTACTAAAAAAAAAATATCTTTTGGACATTTTGTATATGTGTTTACACTTTGATCCTTTGAGTTATAATTCTGGTCCAAGCATGCCGGCGTGACTATCACCAGGCCTCTTCGAATGAGTTTGGTGCGCACCCCAGCCCAACCTCCTTGTTTTTTCTTTATCCTCTTTTATGCTTTTTTTTTTTAATTATTTATTATTTGCTCCAAAAAAAAAAAAAATCTTTAATAGTTAATGGTCTTTTTTCTCATAGACTCATTAAAAAATATTAAACACTCTTCTAATATAAATTGATTTAGGACCCTCTTCTAATTTGATTTTTAAAAAATAATTAACACGTTTAAACTCATTATTGAGTATAAATATTTTATTACATTTTACATAATACATATTAAATTAAACAAATTATCATAATTAATGTTGATTAATTTTTATTTTACATATAAATTTTTAAAATATTTAAGATAACAAAAAAAAATTATATAGACTAATCCACGACAATGAACGGTAACTATATTAGTACAAACTAATATAAAATTTATTGGCATACATAATAAGGTGGTTTCATTTGTAGGGGTAACACAAATATGCCACTGAGCATGACACTTACAACTACTGACAGAAAAATCATCAAAACATGAGGATCGTCACACTCTATCTTGCATTGCCTCTTCATCAACTCTTATTTCTAAATTGTGAAGAAGAAGAAGAAAGGGAAGCAACAACAAATTAGCACTGTAGTATCAAGCGCATAAACTCAGCAACCACATTAGCTTCCAACTTACAAATCGAAAGAGAAGAGTTCACTACAATTTACTCAAACATGCATAGTCACTAATCAGTCTCAAACACTACAAAAAAATCTTTCTTTACACATATTGATTCAAAATAAACAAAAATTCCAAGTAATTATGGCCCAAATTTTCCTATTAATAAAAAAAAACTAAAAGATAACTGAAATTTTCTATTTAGTTACTGTTTGGAGTACTGTTCACCAAGACCCACGTTACTGTGGACACAGACTCAATTTTCATATTCCTTTTACTATTGTTGCTCTTTATTGCCACCTTGGCTTGGTTTCTTTGTTTGTATTGATTTTAAATTGTTTCTCTGCACCATCACATGCGAAATAGTATTTGGGCTGGGTTTAACGCCTATATTATGTTGCATTAATTTCTTTTCAGCCATGGGTGTCCTGCACTTTTACTTATTTGACCATATTTTGTTTTTTTCCTCTAACCCTTGCTGTTTTTTTTTTTTTTTAATAACTGAGGATGTTCGGATCAATTTATGTACATAACGACTAATGTGCATTTAATGTACCTGGTTTGGATTTGATAGTTTTTCCTTTTTCATTGCATTTTCTTCCTTCCCCGTCACTCATGTTTTGGGTGGTGGGCCTAAGAATGATTTTATTGTGCCATAACACTAAAAGTAAAATTAAAATATAGGATTAATATTCATTTATCAATTAAAATACTGTTTATCCATATTTATCATTTAAAAGTAAAATTAAAATATAAGATTACTATTCATTTATCATTTAAAATACCGTTTATCCATATTTAAATGTATTATTCTTTTTATTATATTGTAGCATTTTTATAGTTTTTAAATATTTTTTAAACATTTATTATGAAAGTGTTAACAACATTACGCTTTGGTCTCTCTTTTTTAAATAGTGTTTTTGTAAATATTTTTTTTTTTTTTTGGTTTTAGTCTCTCTTTTTTGTCTCATTTTGGTCATTTTTCTCTGATTTTTTAATCAAAAATTTTAAGGCAAATTAAAAAAAAAATTACAAAATAATTTTTTAGCTAAGAATCTATTAGTTTTGACATTTTTTATACTATTAAATAATTTTTTTTTATAAAACATTTATGAAAAATGTAAAGAATAATCGATCAAATACAAAATTTTGATTAAGAAATTATAAAATTGAATGAATTTTTTTTCATGTTGATTTGATGTATTTTAGTAGACAAAATATCAAAATGAAATAATTTTTTAAAAATAATTTTATGTATTTTATCCGATCCATAGCATAACATGGATAAAAAATCTAATATATACTAAAACTAAATGGAGTTTCATTCTTCCTAAGCTCTTGCTATAGTCAGCAAAATGACATCGTTTATATATTTTTTTTTAATTTGAAATAACATCGTTTTATATAAAAGAAAGGTAAATTTTGTACAATTTGATTCTTCAAGCTATAATTTTATACAAAATGATCCTTAATCTTAATTTTTATTGCAAAAGGTCCATTTTTTTTTTAATATTTGGATTGTGGTTCCAGCCTAGGCATATGGCCGTTGCTATCTCCAGACCCCTCTAGAAGGGCTCGGTGAGCACTCTAGCCGAGCCTTTTTTTTTTTTCTTTTTTCTTATTTATGTTTTTATTTATTATTTATTATTTGCTCAAAGTAATTTTTTTTCTCAACAGTTAATGGTCTTTTTTTTTTTTATAGACTTGTTAACTAAAATTAAACACTTTTAATATAAATAGATTTAGCACACTCTCTAATTTGACACTCTATCTTGCATTGCCTCTTCATCAGCTCTTATTTCTAAATTGTGAGGAAGAAGAAAAGGAAGGAAGGGAAGCAACAACAAATTGACACTTTAGTATCAGGAGCAGCAGCTCAGTAATCACATTAGCTTACAACTTACAAATCAAAATAGAAGAGTTCATTGTAGTCAAGTATGCATAATCGCTAATCAGTTTCAAACACTACTTCAAAAAAGGTCTTTCTTTACACCTACTAATTGAAAATGGACAAGAATCCTAAGTAATTATGGGCTCAAATTTTCCAAAATTTCATGATTTTCAGAATTTTCCCGAAATAAAACAAAATGGATTTTCAAGTCATTTAAGTGCTAGTGTCGGCCAGGCCTCTCTTACTGGACCACAGCTTTTTTCTTTTTGCTCGGGGCGAAAACTTCTAGGCCCAACCCAAAGGAGTAACAAACAGGGCTAGTCTTCAACTTCAACTTCAACGGCCTCTCAGTTCCCGCCATTTTTCGACGCCAACATTCTCCTCTCCTTAAAGGTCACTCTCTTCTCCTCAATTTCTCGCACAGACATGTTTAAGAAACCACGTTTCTGATGGGCTTCATTCAAGTTTTGCAAGGTTAGCTTCTGCTTCTTCTTCTTCCTTTTATATATCTTTATTTCCTGTTTTAGCGTTCCTTAAATGAATTTTAGAACAAGTTAATTACATGCCAAAGATTATTAACAGGTATTGGTAATGCAGTTTACGTGTTTGTTGAAAGTACTCACGGAACATATTTTATTGATTGCTTTTCAAACTTGGCCAAGTCAAAACCACTGTTGCATGCTTAGCCACTTGTCTTGTTTAATTATTTTTTGGATTCTCTATTAATTTCCTGGAGTAAAGTTTGGTAGATAGGATTCCTCCTTCAAATTCTGAATTTAAATTCAAATGCCAGTAATAAAAAAAGAAAAAGAAACTCGATCTCCAATCAGGTTACGGTCCTTGCTCAACCAAATTCTAATTTTCAAAAAATTAAAAAAAATTAAGACTCGTCAATTTGTCGGGCTCAATCAATACCATGCAGAGGTAGATGTGAAAGGCAAATGTTTAAATTGCCATACACCAACTAACTGATGGTTTAAAGTCAGTGTTGTCTGCAGTTTTGTTTATTTATTCGTTATTTGAAGTTGGCGTTGAAGCAATCAAAACTCTTATTGTACAACAATGACGTGCTTTTAAACATTTGTATCATCATAGGTCCAGTCGTTTCCATTTTGGGATTAGGTTCTTCTGGGAGATCATTGCCTAGAAGAGAGCATGGCTAATGCACTTGTTTCTGCTCATGTGAGTAGAGTTTTGGGCAACTTGAACTCACTAGCTCTGGAAGAGACGGGAATTGTTGGAGGCCCAAGGACAGAGCTTGAGAATCTCAAGTGCACCTTTTGCAAATGGGTTATTCCTTGCAAAGGCAAATAGATTTGCACGAGATAGGCCATGAAGATGTGGAGGAAGATGTCTTTGGAAACATAACATATGTAAAATTCATGATTGTGTCCATGATTTGGCACAATCAATTGCTAGACATGAATGGTTTTTGATTGAGCCCAATACAGTATTAGAAGTCAGTAGCAAGTTACGCCATTTAGCTATTTATAACAGATCATTGGATGACGTTCCCATGTGTTTATTAAATTTAGAATTATGCTAAATTAAATAAGAAAGCTTCACTAATTTTGAATAGTCAAGTCTTTACCATGTGAAGCAAATAAGGGACTACAATAAAACAGAGATGCTTGAATTATTGTCGTTTGCTTTTCATTTTTTGGACATTGATTAAGTTCATAGTATTCGACCAACATTTTTTTTTTGGAATTATGCGGAAGTTTGAAGTATCTATTGATCAAGTTCATAGTCAAGTATGCGAAATTGGAGTGGTAGATATGGTGGTGAAATTCTACCTCTAAAGTCTACATCGTGTGGGGCCACAGACTTAAATATTTTCCTCTGCCTTGCAAGACCCGCTAGCCAAAAAGAAAAGGATAATCAGCGACAAGAGCAGAGCCCATTACACCAAACTAAACTAAACGCGCTTCTTTCCTCTCCATTACTGATCTATTTTTGCACTACCATTTCTTTCTGAAATCTAACCATCTAGCTGTCCCTGGTATTCCGGCTCTTATTACAAACATCCAATTTCTTTTCCTGAGAAAACAAGCTATAGCTGATGTACTTGTTTCTGCTCTTGTGAACAGTGTGGTCAACAGTGAAAGCCTATCTCTTTTAGAGTATTATTGATTTCTTTGACTGAACTACACTGCTGGTTGAATACGTTGAATTAAATATATTAAATCATGTAGAAAAATTATATTAGTTTAATAATCTGTTTTATGATGTGAATCTATAAAATTAAAAATAAAAAAAATATTTATAATTTTTTAATCAATAATTTTTATTTAATTATTTTTTATTTATGTTTTTTTATAATTTTTCCTTTACAAAAAAAATTCATCCTTGTCAATCCATGGATTATTAACTAAAAAGAAAATTAAATAATTTTTTTAAAAAAAATCTTTAGTATTTCATAAGATTGTGTCAAAAAACATAAATAATAATTATTAAAAGCTTGCATAGAATTGAACAAATAATTTTTTTATTTAATGTTGATGAGAATAACGATTTTTGAAAAAATACAAATTTAATTTTTATATATTTATTCACAAAAGAATGAATAATAGTAAAATAAAAAACTATATTAATTTGAATCATTGAGTGGTTAAGCCAAAATATTATTTTAATTATTTAATTTAAAATAAATTAATTTAAAAATATTCAAAAATAAATAAATAAATAGTAAATGCTTAGTATAGTAGTTGTTGCACGGTTATTTTTTTAAAAAAATGATTCAATATTTTTTTATACATCGTAAATATACTAAGTGAGTTCGAGTTTTCGATCTAAAAAAATACTATAAAAAAAAGAAGTTAACTTGCAAGGAATCTATTGACTAAATTTGAAGTTAATAGACTAAAATAAAAGTTAATACAAATTTGATTTTGATTAATTTTGATTATATAAAGAAGAAACAAATTAATAAAGCATGTGAATTATTATTCTTTTTTTTTTCCTCCTTCTTAAATATATATATATTTTTAATTTCCATGCTATGCATAGCTAGTCCTTGAATACGAGCCCCACGCGTAGAGCAACCATCTTCTTTTTATTTTTTACATTTAACTTTCAACTATTAATTAATTAATTTGAGTTTTTTTATAAAAAAATTGAGAAAACATTATTTGAAATACAATTTTAGTCTACAAATATATTTTAGATAAATTATATATATTAATCATGCCACTATAATTTAAAAGTTATCTACATCTATTTTTCAAAAGAAAAAATAATCATGTTCTAAAAATTTATTCCAAAATTCATACATATAGAAAAATAAATCAAAACTGTTAGTAAATATAATTTTAATTAACAAAAAACACTAAAAACAAAATGAGATCAAATCACAATACAATAAAAATTTGAAATTGAAAAAAAAATTAAAAATTGAAAAAAAAATTAAAAATGATAAATTAATGTAGTAAATTTTAAATAATATAAAAAAATCGAGGAAAAATTATTTGAAAAACATTTTTAATCTAAAAAAGTATTTCGAGACAAATTATATATATTAATCATGCCATTGTAATTTAAATTATCTAAATCTATTTTTTAAAAAATAATAATCATGTTCTAAAAATTTATTCCAAAATCCATACATATTAAAAAAAATCAAAACTATTAGTAAATATAATTTTAAATTAATTGGATGACAATTTAAAAACATGACAAATTAAAGTAGTAAATTTTAAATAATAAAACTAATTAACAAAAAACACTAAAAACAAATGGAACCAAATCACAATATAATTAAAATTTGAAATTAAAAAAATAATTTTAAAAAAATAACAAATTAAAGTAGTAAATTTTAAAAAATAAAAATAATTAACAAAATAAAGTTTGAAACTGAAAAAAAAAAGAGAATTTATAAAAATGAAAAATTAAAGTAGTAAATTTTAAATAACAAAAATAATTAAAAAAACATTAAAACGAAATGGGACGAAATCACGATACAATTAAAGTTTTAAATTGAAAAAAAAACGGATAGAAAAAATAGAGGACTAAAGTGCTACAAAAATAACATGAATAGTGAAAGGAATAGTGATTTGAGAGTGTGTGAATAGTGATTTGTGAGTATGTGAATAGTATTTCAAATAGTGAAACTAAATAGTAAAACCATGTTCTATTTTAGTTTGTTTTATAACTAGTCGCTTGCCCGTGCTACGCTGCGGGTACGGTAAAAAAATTTCATTTAAAAATTTTAAATTTTTTAATTAATTTTTTTAATGTTTTTTATAAAATTTTTGCTTAAAAAAATAAGTCGTTCTTCTTTATCAATTGATTTTAAAATAAAAAATAATAATTTTAACTAAAATATTAATCAAGAATTAATAAAAAAATTCAAAAATATAATTTTCATAATATTGTATTCCAAAAAATAAAATTACAAAAATTAACAAATGAAAAAAAATACTTATTTAATGCTAATGAGAAGATTAACTTTTGAAATTATTCGTGCAACGCTACTAGTAGATAGAATAAAATCATTTAAACTTTTTTAATTATTTTTATTTAATTATTACTATTTTTTCATAAATTCTTTGCTTAAAAAAATGATTTATTCTTCTTTATTCATGGATTCTTAAATAAAGACTTGTAGTTCTTTAAGCCTAAACTATTAATTAAGAATTCAAAAGTAAATACTTAAAAATTATTTTTTCATAAGAATGTATAAAAAAAATACAATTAATGTATAGACTTACATAAAAATTAACTAATGAAAAAAAAATTTACTCTTTTTTAATGTTGGTTAGAAGATTTTTTTGTTTAAAGTATATGCATTAGGTCTATATATATTTATTTGCAAAATAATCAAAAACATTAGCATAAAAAATATATTTGAATAATTGGTTGATTCCTTTAGAAAAATATTTTAATTATTTTATTTCGAATAAATTGGTTTTATAATGTTAAAAAAAATTATAATAAATAATTTGTATTATGTTGGAAGATGTATAGTCAACCTTTAATAAAATTAAAGATTCGATATTTTTTATATATCTTGACCATACCTAGTAAACCGAGATAAATTATTTAAAATATACTTTTCACCTTTTAGAATAAAATAATTATATATTTATATATGAGCAACTATCATTTAAAAATTCTAAGAATTCATGATATATATTATATCAATTTATTTTTTAAAAAAGAAAAAAAATCATGTTTTAAAATTTTATTCTAAAATTCAAACATAGAAAAAATTATATATTTATTAGTAAACAAAAACTTATATAAAAAATATTAATTGGATGAGAATTTTCATAAAAAAATGACAAATTCAAAGAATGAGATTTAAATGATAAAAGTAATATAAGCGAAAGTATATGTTAATTTTAAAATATAAAAAGATAGTGCGTATATATATGTCTGCGTGAAAATGAAAGAAAAATGAAAACTAAGTATTGAAAAAAAAAAAGTTACAACATGAGGGATGAAAAATTAAAAAAAAAGTTTTAAGTTTGTATATTAATGCCTAAAAGGACACAAAAAAGTCAAACAAAAATTACTT